TAACCGACTGCGCCACCCAGGCGCCCCAAAACCTGCTGTTTTAAAGCTCACTCGCTTCTTCAATAGTGTTTCTCAATTTTTCAGACCAGAAAAAAGGAGGGAAATACCAGAGTAAGTTAGGAGAGAGAGGTATTAAAAACAAATAAGGTGAACTGTATGTGAACTTAAAAATGGTTAAAATAGGGGCGCCTGGGTGGCTCAGTCAGTTAAGCATCCGACTTCGGCTCAGGTCACGATCTCACAGTTTTTAAGTTCGAGCCCCGCGTCAGGCTCTGTGCTGACAGCTCAGAGCCGTTTTGGATTCTATGTCTCCCTCTCTCTCTGACCCTGCCCTGCTCACGCTCTGTCTCTCTCTCTCTCTCAAAAAGAAACATTCAAAAAATGGTTAAAATAGTAAATTTTATGTTACGTGTGCTGTTACCACCATCAAAAACAAAACAAACAGGTAAGGAAAAAGGATGCATTTGAACATTATGTTTATGCCCCCTGTTTAAGTTTAGCAAGAATTGCAAAGGAGGTTCAAAACCGAAAGTATACCTGCCATGATGCTACACTGTGAAAGGTCAGTCTCCAGACTAACAGCAGAAAAGAAAGGCGGCTCCCAGAACAACTGCAGTCTCGGCTCTGGACTCACCCAGCTTCCCAACAAAGAGCGAAGGGTCACACAAAGCAACCAGAAAAATAATTAAGTGATGATCCCACAAACAGCATGAGATACCATCAGGGAGTGCCCAGCTTCCAGCTCCAGAGGAAGGAGGAGGCTGCCAAACCCACACTCCAGAACGCCTGAGAGGGTAACAGGCAAAGCCCAAGCACCCCTCCCTCCTCAGGAGGAGTTCAAAGTTCACCAGAGCAGAAAGCCAAACGGTTAAGCTCCCTCAAGCTGGGGAACAGAAAGAAGAAACTGGTTTCATCAACCTTTAACCATCACCCTACTTCCCCATCTGAAGACTTCCTCACTAGACCTCAACTCAGTAAGCAAATCCGGCAGGCGCTGAGGAAGGAACCTTAAGGAACGTCTGGAGCTGCTCACTGCTCTGCCTACCACCTGGAAGACCAGGGGAAAACTGGGGCCAAGTTTTCCTGCGAGGAATCCGGCCCCGGGAGAGGGGAGGGGCGAAGGGGCGTCACCCACCCTAGAACTATCCCCAGGGTGCCCACACTTCAATGTTGAGCCTAACACTCTGCAGCTCAACACGTGGCCGGTTCTTTAAAAGCCACCCTGCCTTCTTTAAGGGGATCTAGTCTCCAGAACAAAGGAGACGAGAAGTGTCACTAGCCATAGAGTCACCCAGCCAGTCCATCTCACTTGAATTGATAATTAGAAGCTACTCACACTGGGACACCTGGGTGGCTCAGTCGGGTCTCTTGATTTCAGCTCAGGTCATGATCTCACGGTTGGGGAGCTCGAGCCCTACATCGAGCTCCACACTGACAGTGTGAATCCTGCTTGGGATTCTCCCTCTCTCCCTCTCTGTGCTCCTCCCTTGTGGGCACACTCGCTCTCTCTCTCTCAAAATAGGTAAAATAAACTTAAAAATATATATCATGAACATGGGGGAAATCCCCTGAGAAAAAGACGACAGAGAAGACAAGACCCCAGCAGTTCTACGCCCCGGTTGAAAAACAAGAGCATTCTAACAATCTCCCACTCTCCCCCCAAAACAGTAATTCTCAGCCACTCCCCAGAGGAGCAGCCAGGGAAAAAAAAAACAAAAAACAAAAACAAAAAAAACCTGACCAGGCAAGAGAACAACGAGGAATACCAATAAACCACAGAAGTTCCTCATAAGGTCTTCAAATTTTAGCAACACTTACTTTTCTCTCCAGCCTCAAGATTCTCCAAAACCAAGTCAGGAGATCAGTTCCACCCACTAGCCCGTACCCTAGACCCTGGAAAGTCTTGTGGCTTACTAAAATTACTGGCCCTCCTCTAAGCAGAAAGCAGTTTCGAGAATCACCATTCATTTCATCATCATTTTATGTTCCAACTTCCAGCTGAGCCAATATTATCTTTAATAAAAAGAGACACCGTGGCGGGTAACTGGGAAACAACAGAGCGTCACTAGAGGCTCCTTGGAACTCATTATTTTGTCTGCGCGAACCACACTGCCGAGGTCAACCAGAAACCTTGACAGAAACTGGCACTCAATCCGAGTCTCGGCCACACCAACTGGCTTATCAGCTGCGCTTGGAAGAAGTGTTCTTAACCGGCTGGGCCTGCACTGATTGCACTTCAGCAATAAAGGCCAGAATCCTGCAGAAGTCCCCGCCTTCCAGGTCGTCAGGGGTAGGGCCAGGCGAGTTTTGTTGGCTCGCACATTTGCACTAACATAGTGAGTGAGGTACCAACTCCTCCTGGGCGGCTTCGCGGCGGTTGACACAGTGGGTTTAGCAGTTGCCCCCACAAAAGGAAAGAGCCCCAGGCCGGAGGATGGGAGGCGGTGCTGTGGCCTTAACCTCCTCCAGGGAGGGCACCGCGCTTCCTCTCAGCCGACTGCAGCCTCATTTCCTGAGCTGGAGGAGGGAGCGGAAAGGCTGCCAGCAGGCCAGGCCGGGGGCTTTCCGGCGGTTCCCACCCCCACCCCCACCCCTGCACAGTAAGTCGGCCCTGCCCCTCCCAGGCCAGAGCAGCACCCACCTACTCTCCCCCCTTGGGCCGGAAACCTCTAACGAGAGCGAATTTCCCCCCCCCACCCCGCCCTTCACCGAGGAGTGGGGGAGGGAGAGGCCGCTGAGCCCCTCCCCTGGCCGCGCCAGCCTCCGAAGGACTGAATGAATGAGCGGGGAGACAGGAGGAGGAGGAAAACCACTTTCCAGGCCCCGCGAGGCTCAGTTCCTTCAAAGGTCAAGCCGGCTCACCCGAGCGCCCAGTTCCCCCTTCGTCCGCCTCAGGTCCAGCCGCGGGTGAGCCCCACCCATCCGCCGGGCTCCAACCTCATCTCCGAGTCAGCCGGCGCCCGCGGCCCGCGCTCCGCCGCGAAACCAAGGGCCCCCCTTCGGGGTCCCAGCCGCTGCAGCGCCCGCTCCCCCTCGCGCGCCTCGCCCTCTCCGTACCTGCTCCCGTGCCCGCCTTTCCCCCTCCACTTCCCGCTGCAGGCGCTCGGCCCTCTCCTCTGCGTCATCGGCTTGCTGCTGCAGAACCTGGATCTTGCGCTTCACCGCCTCGATGGTGGTGATCCCGGCCATGGTGCCCACCCAGCCCCTGCTCGCTCTCGGCTTCCTGCCTCCTCCGCTCGGCGCTGCAGCCGCTTCTCACCCCCACTTCCGCCTGCTCCTCCCTGAAATACCGGAACTCGCCCACCCGCCCGGATGTGGCGTCACCGCCGCGCCCTGCCGCGACAGACCCCGGGCGGGCGGCCCTCGGCGCGAGCGCGGGGCGGGGCCTTTCCCAGCCCAGCAAAGGGGGGCGGGGCAGCGCCGGGCGCGGGCTACCATGGCAACCGGAAGGCGCGCGACAGGCCGCCCTCTGCCCCGCAGCAGGTCCGCCGGGCCGCGCGGCGTCCGCCTTCACCGCGCACCCGACGCCGCCCCGGCTTCCACCCACCGCACACAGGCTCCAAACTCGGGTGCGGGGACAGGCCAGGGCTTGCTGGGCCCCAGCCTCAGAAGAGCCCGGCTCTGCAGCCTCCGCTCCGCTCCGCTCCGGGTGGGCCCAGGTAGGTTCTCTCCCACCCTAACCCACCGCCTGAAAGTCAAGGCAGGGAATTCCGGGGGTGAGAGAAAAGGCCAGGATGGCGGACTTCTCGTTCCCTCGGCATCGGTACGGATCTCGTCCTTCCCCCGTCACCTTGGAGGGTCACTGTGCACCAGCGATTCACCGACCTGCCAGGCCTTCCGAACCTTGAGTAATTTAGGTATGGTAATCAGTCGTCACATTTCTCTGTGCAGGTGAGAAAGATTTTATCAGGAAGGAGTCCTCTCTGATAACGGTGATCTCTGGTAACGGATCACTGTTACCAGACCCTTTGTGCAACAGCCACGTGAGTGCCTAGCAAACGTCCTGTGGAACCGAGCCTCTGTTCGGTGATAACTAAACAGTGTCACTGCCACTTCTACCTTCAGGTGCCCTGAGTTAGAAACTGCCTCCCAGTCCCTGCCACGTGGGACTTCTGGAAGCACAATAGTAAAGAGACTTGAAAATTTTACCTCCTGTTCTCTCCTACTTGGTTGTACTGTACGCCTACCTTCCCTGTAAGCCATCATAACAAATGTCTCCTCTGCTGCGACTCTCTTTTCCCCTCAAAATTATGGTGCGGAGCAGGACTCAGGATTAAGACTCCTGATCCCTGAAATGACTGGTAGGTAAGACAGGTGCTGCCCTCAATGCCTGCTTCTGAAGACACTCCCTCCAGAGGCTTCCTCTTCCTATTTCCTTTTAGAAATACCGAGCAATGAGCTGTTTAGAGGAAACAATTCAAACAGTAAATAATTTGCTTGGTAGAGTACGCTGTGTACTGTTTTTTCCCTCCTGGAACTGGGAAGGAAGAACAGGGAGTAAACTCTACCCTGATGGCCTAAGAATTTTTCCAGCTCCTCTCGGAGAAGTCTGGTCAGAGAGAAGATGGAAACAGAAGTGAGACTTTGGCATCTGGGTGATGAGCAGCAGGGGGCGCTGTTTACCTCCCTTTGCCCTAGTGAAGCGGCCGGCGCCCTCAACGCAGACCAACCCAAGGCTGCTCGGAGCACCGCTGTATTCTGTGAACAGATAATCTTCTCTTGATCCAGGGAGACAGGTGGATTGACTCCTGATACCCTTTAAAGGCATGATGGACGGGCAGCAAAGGGCCCAGTGCTAATGTTTTCCTGGTGACCAACAATACAACAATGTATCAGCAGGTGTACGTGTCCGTCCCCCACCCCTCTCACGTCTGGTATTACTCTTTGTCCTAACCTTGCACTCCTCTTTCCCCTTGCTTTACCCTAATGAGCTTCTGACTTCACCTCGGGTTGAGAAGCCCTTACACACGTGAATGTTCTTACTGCCGTTGAACTGTACCCTTAGAAGTGGTTAAAACGGCAAACGTGATGTATGCTTCGTTACAATTTTTTGAAAACGATTTCAGACAATTCAGGGATGAAAAGGTGAAGCTTGTACTGACCTTGCCATACCCTTGCCCTTTTCTTTCTTCACGCAATCCAGCAAATCCTGTGCTTTCCAGAAAAGCTGCTCAGATAACCAGAACTCCCTGTGTGAACATGCAGTCGTTGACTCCCTCCACTCCCTCTCCTGCCCTTATATCCACATCAGAGTAATCTGCTCTGTTAGCCTCGAGGGTAGGAGCTGAGCTGTGAACTTCCCGGGACACTTGTACTGGACGCGCACCCTCCCCCTGAAGATGCAGACATCATGTTGCTGGTGACTCTGACCCTTGCTCTCTGCTTTAAACCTATTGCTTCCTCCTTATTCAGCACTTTTTCCAATTCCTATAAACACTTCACTTTCCTTCTCTGATTCTTTGAGGCAGAAATCCCCCAACTTTTTCTGGGAAAGGCCAGACAGTACAGTTTTCCTGGCTTTGCAGGCCACAGGGTGTGTTGAGCTCCATGGGACAAAGCCTGTGGATGATATGCAAGCGAATGGGCATGGTGTCGTTGCAGTAAAACTGTACAAAACGAGGCTGTGACAGGATTTAGCTCACAGGTGGAAGGTTGCTAACCTCAGCTCTGAGAAAAAAAAACCTTTCTTCCTGCTTCCTTCCTAGCCTAACGTATTTCTGCCTGCTGCTCACAGCCTTCCTCCCCCACTTCTTGGCCTCGGGCACACCTCTGAGGGTACTCGCTGACTTGTAGGGAAAGCTAACAGGGGGAGAGAAGTTAAACAAGTTTTTCTACCCACATACTACATATTGAAATGGGTTTTGGTGGGTTCCTATATAAACATGAGTAACTTCTTTCGAGTGAATATACTGAACCCACCCTGTCTGGGTGGGGGATGACAGTGCGTGTCTGTATATGTGCAACAGCGTAGGGCAGACAGAATTCGTCCCCAGGAAATTCCTTTATCTTCCCAGTGAAATAGGGGTATCATCTAGAGCCTCTGTGTTTCTCTCTCCCAAGATCGAAGGTTAGACTTGTTTGTTCTTTCCTTGCTCCTGGACACACCTCCTCCAACCCACATACCTGCCGCTTTAGCCTTAGACTCTCCAGGAGAGTCGTCACCCAACATCTCATAAAACTCCCCTTAACCCGACACTGCCAGTTTGCGAAAACTTCTGTCCCTATGAGCCAGAGAGATCATCTATCCATCTAGACCCGGAACCTTGGTCAGGTAGTTCCAACAGGCCATCAAGCATCTGCCCAAACCTCTGGAGGTAACGTGTGTTTTCTGCAGTTTTCCAAGAAGGAAGAATTAATAGTTTGCAGGGGACTAAACTCTTGGAAACCACAAATATGTATAACGTATATGATCCTCTTTGTATCTCTGACCTCTGGCAGGATACGTTCAACAGCCCTCGTTACGTTCCCTGGCCACTGCAGGTGGCAGAGTGCCAAAGGGGAGATGATGGGCCTGAGAGCAAAGAGGCCAAACTTGAGGGTCTGGAAACATCTGCGAATGACCCACTCTGTCTCTCTATTTTCCAAAACCAGGCGCTCCTGGGGCACCTGGATGGCTCAGTCGGTTAGGTGTCTGACTTCCACTCAGGTCGTGATCTCACGTTTGTGAGTTCAAGCCCCACATCGGGCTCTGTGCTGACAGCTTAGAGCCTGGAGCCTGCTTCGGATTCTGTGTCTCCCTCTCTCTCTGCTCCTCCCCCGCTCACGCTCGGTCTCTCTCAAAAATAAATAAACATTAAAAAAAGTATATGTGCTCCTAAAAATATGTGTATGTGTGGGTATATACATACAGACATAT